AACATAACCGAAACAAAAACAAACCAAAACAAAAAACCCACCAATAACAACAACAATAATAACAATAATAGTAAATAAATAAATATTTGTCTCACTAACTTTTGACAGCTTTTAGACAATTTTATCCCCATCTGAACAATATGATTTATGTATTACCCTTTTCAGGTAAGGGTAGATAAAAAGTAAATGTGTTTGTTTGACTTTTTACTCCAGTTAACGTAGTTTAGTAGAATTTCCGATATTCAGGGAGTTTTAATATAACTGTGAAACTTAAGGGGTTTTCTATGATTCATGAAGTTCAGGATTTTTTAATGCAAAACTCTCCATTGTTCATGGGAGGTTTTGTGGAGTGAAATTTACCCCTTATGATCTCTGGAAAATTTTTGTCTCTTCTTGGTTGCTCATCACCTGACGATAATTTTCTTTTCTCTTAGTAGGCCGTGCAGTTCCTGTTGCCTCTACGAATCCAAGCGAACTGTCAGCAGGTCAGCAACAGCAAGAACAATCAGATCCAGCAAGGAATTCTTCTGCTTCAAATGTTGTCAATCAAGCATTTTCAGCCGGAGATTCTGGAGTTCGTGTAGTTCCACTGAGAACAGTGGTTGCAGTGCCTGCTGGAGTTAACCCTTCACCCTCTGATTCTTCTGCTGTTGGGTCAGTTCGGTTGTTCTATCCTCTTCTGGCAAGAGTTCGACAGTCAACTGCTGGCAATGCAGGTGAAGTTGATGGACATACTCTTCATCAACCCTCTGTTCAGAGAGAGAATTTGGAATCTAACGGTGGAGGTGCTGTAGGAGATGAACCTTTTGTTTCTGGATTGAGTTCTGGTGCATATCAAGGTAATGAGAACTCCTGTTTCTGTAGGGATTAGAAGAGTATGTAAAGTTTGATATATTAGATGAAGCTCTAATATTCGAATGTTTTATGTTACATTGTATAGAGCATATTAAATTTAAAGTGATAGGACTGTTAGCTTGGTGACGCCTTGCTTTTACCCCTAGCTGAACTCAATAATGGAACCCATTCATGATTATTTTAGTACGTTATTTTGAACTTTCGCATTAAACGCGGAAAAATAATATGACCAGTTGCCTGTAACATTATAAAATAAGTCTTGTAGAACAGAATTTTATCTTCATTTTCTAAAGTGGAGTGAAGATGCATCATCATGATCAACTAAAAGCTTGATTTTTCGACAGTGTTTGGCTCAAGCCAGCAGGGTCCTCCAAATAATAACAGCGATAGTGGAACACAAGCTAATGATAATACACCAGGAGGTATTGAGGCACATGATAATGAACAAGGAGTATTCCTCTCAAATGTTCTTCATCGCCTCATGCCATTGATATCTCGAGACAGGGAGAATGATGTTTCTTCAGATATTCCTAGCCCTTCAACTACAGAAGTAAGGAAGTGTCCTGTTCAATATGTTGAGAAATATTTTCTTATTTCAGTAGCAGTACATAAAATTTTCTATTTAATGGCTAATTTTGCAGATAGAGAGGGAAAATTTAAACGGTTCAAGCTCTCGTCATCAAGGTGACCATCCTGAGGTCCCAAGTCCAAAACGAACAAAGGTATGTCCTCGTGAAATTCTAATCGTTCTCTATAGCTGGATCGTAATGTGTATGGATTTTGGTTCTAATTTCACTTGATAATGTTTGATTTTATGAGTGCAGAGAGACGGTGATTGATTTGCGATGTACCCAATTGTTGGCGTCGATGCTCATTACTGTTACAGTTTTTTGAGTTTTTATTTGTAGGGCTACAACATTTTGGAGCTTGGGTTAAGATGCATTACAAATAATAGTGCTGCTTTTGTGAGCCCAATAAAATGAATATTCTTCTCTTCTTGCATGCATATTTACTGTATCCTTGGTACTTTTGTTGTCAAGAATTGGGGACTGATCCACATATGAAAGGTTTTGTGAAATTGGTTATATAGATTATTGTATTTGGCCAACGTTCAATCCGAGCTGGGAAGAATCTCAAGTGCTTGTTTTTTTATGCACATGTTCATGTGTTGAGTTTGAGCGAACAATTATATTCATGTGTTGAGTTGAACAAACATTTGTATGAAGTGTGTATTGTTTTTGTTAAGGTTTCGGATGATGTTAATACGCACCAACACTTTTTCTCTTTTACACCTTCTGATACTTCAGATATTGAGGGATAAAAATTAATATTGCCGTATTGGAGCATCAACTATGTTTCTTATTTGATAAAAACCAGAATTTAAGATAATATTCGGTCTGTGCAGCACGGATACAGTAATTTGACTCCATAAAAGGCTGAACAGCAGGTAAATACCTTGATTGTTTTCACTCAATTTGTACTTTTGCATACTCGCTTGTTTTTCGCAGCATTTATGTACCCCAAGCTGTTCAAAATGAGCACTTCGGTGTCCTCTAACACGCATAGGCGAAAGTCTACCTGAATGTTCTTGCATGACTCTTAGAATTTATTAGCCTTGCGAGTGTCATGAGAATATTCGGGTGAAAATTTTTATGTCTAGACAATAGAGGGTGCCAAAGTGCCAATTTTAAACGACTTACAATGTACAAGTGCAGCGAAAAACAAAGTGAGGGTATAAAGCTTTTGGAAGTAGGCGGCTCAAAAATGTAAATGAAGAAAGCGGGGGTGTTTAAAGTCAAAAAAACCAAAAGAATCACCCTTTTCTCTAGGGCTGGGCGTATTCGGTTCGGTTCGGTTTTAAGCCCAATCCGCATCCAATCCGAATTTTTCGGATTCTCAAAACTCTCATCCAGATCCAGATTTTTTCCCCTTTATCCGAATATTCGGCCCAACCGAAATTCGGTTCGGTTTCGGTTTTGAACCGAATTAACTCCATTTCACAGAAATCTGGGTAAGTTTTAGTTATATCCAAAACTGAAAAGAAGCAATCAAAACTGAAAAGAAACAATCATAACTGTACTAAGCCACTTAATCAAATTGTATGATCTGAATATAACTAGCTTAATACACTAGGAGGACCATGTAATTATGTAGCCTTTTTTAGAGAAAGAACAATGTTTGATTTTTGCCCACCCCTACTTTTAGAGACTTCTTCTCATCCATTTAATTCGGTTCGGTTAACCGATCCGTTTTTTCGGTTGAACCGGTTTGTTTTGGTTTTTGCCCACCCCTACTTTTCTCCTCCCTCCCTTTTGAATTTGAACCGTGCTGCAATAAAAAAAGGCGCTCACTTTTTTCAGAGAGAAGGGAAAGACGGGAAATGGCTGCTGTCGTTGCTGAGATCGATATCAGTGAAGAGATTATCAAGCAGAGAGTCAGAGAAAACCTCAAGCTTCTCGAGGTAACAGAACTTTACTTGCGTGATTTGTTTGGCCCCCCCACCCCAAAAAAAAATTTGTTTCATTATATAGATTGAAATTTCGTCCGGATCAAACGAAATGAGGTTGTGGGTCTGCCAAAATGCCGATTGATGAGAGAAATCATCAATTTTTAGTCGGGTTTTCTTGAAAAAAGAAAAAAAATGGTTCTGTGATGTGTGATTCAAGAAATGAGATCACGGGTCCTCAAAAAAAAAAAAAAAATCTCTTGTTATGTAAAACCCCTTTTGACTTTCACTTTGTTGCTGTAAATGGTGTCTTTGTCATAAATGCTCTTTGATGAGCCTTTTTTTCTTCCTCACTCTTTTGATGTCTATCATTCTAAGGAGATTTTTTTTTAAAAAAAAAAGACCATTCTTAAAAAAATAATTAGTAAAAATGACTTTTTTGCTAAGTAATTAGAAAAATCGATCTCTTTTTGGCCACCTCACCAGGACGGGCTAAAAAGAGTTCTATTTTACAAAAATTGATGCTGAAAACACATGGAACTACTAGTCCCGTGTGTTTAGCATTTGCTAATCAATTTTTAAACACAAGCCAGAGAAAACACACGGGACTAGTAGTCTCGTATGTTTTCTGCACAGTATCAGAAGCAAAAAGGAGGATAGGGAACTGAAATTGCAAAAGGTTCACTCCCTCCAACAATTGGAGAATCTCATCATAAAATCATAAAAATGCCAAAATCACTGCAATCCATAAACATACGGGACTACTGTTAAACATACGCTATTACTAGCCCCATATGTTTTGTGACTAGCGTTTTAAGGTTGATTAGCGAAAGCTAAACACACGGGACTAGTGGTCCCGTGTGTTTTCAACATTAGATTTTGTAAAATCGACCTCTTTTTGGTCAGCTGACTTGGGAAAAAAGATGTCAATTTTGCTAATTATTTAGCAAAAAGGTCGTTTTTGCTAAATATTTTTTAAATAGAGTGTTTTTTTTAATCTCCTTATTCTAATTATCAACGAATTTTTGCCTAGATTCTTGAAAATGAAAGCTGTTTCCGTCGAAAGTCACCTTAGTCATTGATTTCATTAAACTTTAAACGTTACAAATGAATTCAAATAACAAAAGAAAAAAATTACAACTTTCTTGAAAATAAACACAAGATCCGTTTATCGGCTCTTGCTTGCGTGGGTTCTTTGCCGGTGCCGGGATTAATCCGTGGACGACCTCGAATCAGATCTGGTTGCAGAAAATTTAGCAGAGTTTCGCCTTCACCGGGGAAGCTTTTTTGATTAGAAGCGCTGAGATCGACAAAGCGAAATCAGGGCTCTTCTCGAGATTAAGACCAAGCCTAATCTCAAGGAACGGACGTACGGGCTTCTGATCCTTCGAACAACTTCTCCTTTGTGCTGAAGTTCGCCGGGATCTCGCTGTCCTTCGCTGAAATTTCGTGCTCCTTCACTCTCCAATCCAGCAGCACCTCGTCCTCTTGATAAAATTCCAGGTCTTCGGTGGTGCCATTCCCATAGCTTCGAGGATGTCCAATAAAAGATTATTGTGACAAGTCTCGAGAATGAAGTCTTCGCTGACCGGATCCCTGCAGTTCATTGCTTTGTTTCGGAATCTCTTCACGAAGTTTTCGACCGTCTCACCATTTTTCTGTTTCTCGTCAAATAGTGTGCCGATTGAAATCTCGGTGTCGTCGTCGAAGAAGTTTGTCAGAAACATGTCCTCCATGTTATCCCAACTGCTGATACTCCCCGGCTTGAGGCGGCGATACCAATCGAAGGCTGTTCCGCAAAGAGTGCCCACGAATGACCGCACCATTAAGGGTTCATTCCAGGAGATTATTCCTAAATGGGACTTAAAATATATCAAATGTTGGGTCGGGGAGCCCTTCCCATCAAACGGCGTAAAATTGATCAAGTTGAATTTCGCCGGGTATGGAATTGATTCCCATTCCCTTGGATATGGACATGGTATCCCAGACCTTTTCACTTCTTGGGCACTCATCAATGCGTTAATCTTGCTTTCCAAGTCCCTCATTTTCTTATCCTCACTCGTATTCGTTTTCGAGTGATTTCGGGGAGAAGTAACGTGATCCTCCTTTGTGTTGTTATCATCCGAAGGGCCACCCCCATTATTGTTGTTGACGGGAGGGGTATTCATGTTGACATTATCCTCCTCCCGCTCGTTATCATCTTGATTCGGATTGTTGCGACGACTAGACTCCCCTTGGTGAGTTGTTAGTGCCGCGATTTGCTGGTCATGCATTTCTCTCATCTGTTGCATGACCATCTCCATCTCGAACTTGAAATTTTCCTTCTGCTTAGTCAAAGCGTCCTCGAGCAACTTAGCCACCTGTTCGGCGCTAATCATGAGTGACTCGTAGGGCTGTCCTGCACTCATCCGAGCCGGCATCCGAGCAAACCTCTGAAGTTTCATCTTCTGAAGGAAGTCCCTTCTGTATTCTTTGGTAGTTCTTTCGCCTACTGGTCCCTGTTCGCAATCGAGTCATGCGTTGGGATACTGTGGCAAACTGATCCGGACTAAAGTGTCGCGTTGACTTTCCTCTCCCGGTCATGTTAACAGATACTTTTGGAAATTCATCATCATGTAGAGCAGCTCTCTTCCTTCGGAAATGTCTTGGTCTGGATTCAGACGTTTTGGTGGAGATTCTTTCAAATACTGAAACTCTCTCCGGGGTGGTCTTGGAACAGCAACATTCTGACAACACTGCCTTGATGATTTTGGCACATGGACAGTGAGAATCTGTATTCCGGGCACTCATTTTCCTGGATTTTTTCGCACCCCCAGCTTGATAGTACAACTCGTCAGTTTGATGACTGGAGCAACCTATCGTGTGTTGGCACGACTTCCCAGGTATAACGTCTTCGTCTGACGAGTACGTTTTCTTCTGAGGATACAACACTTGGTTAGCATTTTCAGGAGTCGCATGTCTAAGGCGACGTTTTTGTGAATGTTGGCCCTCAACAGGCTCCTGGATTTCAACACGCAATCCGATGCGGTCATTTGCGGGACTTTTTTCGTTATACATTCTCTTCCACTGCTTAGGATGACGACCTCCAGCCTGACAATGTGCTCGAGATTCATTCAATCGGCCTAAGCGCTCTTTGACCGGAGCTTTGCCTCGATCATCGGGTGAGGGGCCAAGGCGATCTTTGATGGTCATCTTAAAATGTGACAAATCCACACTGTCAACAATCTCAACCGGAGGTGTGGAACTCGATGGAACTGAAGAAATAGGTGTAGGACACTTTCTGCCTTGAATCTGTTGCGGGTCAGACTTGGGTGACCCGCAAGTTGGAAGGTCGGATTTGGACGACCCGCAAACTGGAAGGTCGGATTGGAGTGACCCGCGTTTTGGCGGGTCGGATTGGAGTGAGGGTTCCTTTCTTGTGGGATGTTTTCGTTTTTTGGGACTAAAAGCTGCTCCAGTTTCTTTTCTTTTTTTTGTACTTGTTATTAATCATGTTTATGAAAAAAAGTGATGTTTTTGACTAAACTAGTACATAAATAGTATGTTTTAAATCCACATGCTCAAAAACAAGATGTTTTGTGTGTTGCTCTAGTGCGAAAAGATCTTTGAAGTTGCTAATCTGATGATTATGATTCTGTTCGATTTAAAATATATAGAAAGGAGTTTAATGAATGAAGATCGTACTTTTTTCCCCTGATGGAAGATTGTACTAATATAATTAGGTGCAGTCATGATTTTTCTAAAGGGTAAATTACGGTATTCCTCTACGAATTTTCAACATTTTGCAGTAAACCCCCATAACTCTTAAAATCACACTAAACCACCAATAGCTATTGAATTGTAGAAAATCCCCCAGAAATTTTCACGTTTTACAGATAACCCCAATGACGTCATCAGTCGATATTTAGGATCTCAATCTGTTGTTAATGAAAAATGTGCACTAACGCTATTACAGTGTTTATATGCAAGATGCAGAAATGTATTGGAGATTTTCTAAAAGCCTAATAGTTATTAGGAGTTTAGTGCAATTTCAGAAGTTATTGAGGGTTTATTGCAAAAACTTTGAAAGTTCTTGTGGGTTTAGTACAAGTCTCTTTTAGTGATTGGCTCAAGAAATTCACCAGAAAGAAAGAGTGACTCATGGGTATGGACACGAATGCATGTATACACCCATTCACAAAGTGGCGTGCTGCTTCAGTAATAATGTGTGTGTGTGTAGGGGGTGTTTTCGTCGAAAGTCACCTTAGTCATTGATTTCATTAAACTTTAAACGTTACAAATGAATTCAAATAACAAAAGAAAAAAGATTACAACTTTCTTGAAAATAAACACAAGATCCGTTTATCGGCTCTTGCTTGCGTGGGTTCTTTGCCGGTGCCGGGGTTAATCCGTGAACGACCGCGAATCAGATCCGGTTGATGAAAAATTGGGCAGAGCTTCTACCTCACCAATGGGGTATTTGCTTGAAGTCCTGAAATCGACAAAGCGATATCAGGGCTCTTCTCGAGATTAAGACAAAGCCTAATCTCAAGGAACGGACGTACGGGCTTCAGATCCTTCGAACGGCTTCTCCTTTGCTCCGAAGTTCGCCGGGATCTCGTTGACCTTTGCTGAAATTTCGTGCTCCTTCACTCTTCAATCCGGCAGCACCTCGTCCTCTTGATAAAATTCCAGATCTCGAAAATGAAGACCTTTGGCTCGTATTTATAGGCTTTGAATGCGGTTATTTGGATGAGAACAAGGGATTTGGCTCTATCTTCAGTCAATAACAGCCTAACCACGTTTGGGGATGATCTCAAATCAGTTAAGAACCCCTGGAACCGATAAACCCTGCAAAAAACCAATTTAAAACTGTCAAAACGTGTTTTGGTACCTTACTGCGCGGCAGGACGATCCGACCCGCGCTTGCGCGGGTCGGATTGGTCCGTCCCGCGCTTGCGCGGGTCGGATCATTCCGTCCTGCGCTTAGCGCGGGTTCGCCGACTTTTTCCCTTTTTTGGTTTCTTTCTTCCGGGACTTGTTCTTGTCGCGTATTCGATAGATTTGTTGATTTGTATGCTCCGTCGCGAGACCAATCGTCGAACGCGCGTTGGTTAATATACGCGTGCTGATCGATGCGCGCGTGCTGATTGACGTGCGCGCGTTGACCGGCGCGTACGAGTTGATTGACGTGCTCGCGTTGACCGACGCGCACGGGCTGATTGACATGCGCGCGTTGACCGGCGCGCACGGGCTGATTGACGTGCGCGCGTTGACTGGCGCGCACGAGTTGATTGACGTGCACGCGTTTGACCGACGCGCACGAGTTGGTTTGACGAATCTTCTTGACTCGCCCATTCATTGCTTCGAGTTTCGTGCGGGCTCTCGTAGACAATTTTAGACGCCTACAAAAGCCAGTACATTTTATTTCTTTAAATCAGAAAAATCGAAATCCAATGATCTGTAAGACTATGGCATTTGCAGGATATGACGTGCAATCAAAAAGGAGGATTTATATTATGTGTTCTAAAATGCTACTTGATGTGAGATTCATCTTAGCCTCGATTAAAGTTTCAAGAAGCAAAATTATCGTGTATAATGAAATATACCCATTTTCTCCTTCTTATTTTTTAAAATTCCCCTTATTGTTTTGTGGCAATCGAAAGGAACTTCCTCTCACATTGCTGTAACTTCCAATTTTACATGGCTTTATTGGCTTTATGTTTTGATGCAACAAGATGTTTCCCTGCCGTGTGATTTTTTCCTTCATTGAGATGTTATTGTCTCTTGCCTAAATCTAAAGCTGTAGTCACATTTGATCGGATGAATTTTGTTTTTACTCATACACCTTTGCTTAACGTGTAAGCTCTGCGTTGTGTAAACAAAATGTTTTGCCTTAGAACTATATAATTTTTCCTTTGATTAACTAAGTATGTTGCTCTTCTTCAATAAGGAACTGGGAATTTCAAAGGATATTCGGGAGTTTGCGAAGAGAGAATACAAGTTATGGGTAAGATTAGCATCATTTCTTCTAGTTCAAAATGTTGTTTAGTTTAAGTTTGATTATAATTTACCATATTTCAAATTCTAAATTATGTAGTCTGAACTGAAACAAACATCCAATAAATAAGCAATTTCTTGGTTTTATTAGGATTTACAATACCATCAGTTGCATTGCTAACTCCCATCACATGTGTCTAAAACAATACAAGTACACCAATCTTTATACATATATCAGCTGAAGAAGGTTTTTTAGTTAGTTTGGGGGAAAAAATTACATATAGCAGCACGTCAAGTTTCATAAAATCAGGTTTACAGTTTGGATATTGGATGTCTTATAGCTTCTTTTGGCTAAAGTCAAGTTGGACTGCTGAAAATTGAAGTTCTTAAATATTTGCATCAGGTTGGTGACACAAAAGATAGATACTACCGCAAAAGGTAAAAAGGCTTTATCAGTGCAAACATTTACTAGTTCATTTTGCAAATTTGGTTCTCATGTGGTACTAAAATTAATATATATCAATATTTTCATCAGGACTTCGACAAACCAGAATAATGCTGGAAGAGAATACACCGGAAGAATTGTTTCTGACAACCAAAAGGCTGCTGCAGTAAAGAGAGCAGAGGAACTTCAAAGAGATTTGAAGTCTCACTATCCTTCATTCATCAAGGCAATGGTTCGATCACATGTATCTGGTTGTTTTTGGCTGGTAAGTTAAGTCAAGGGTTAATTGCTGGTAGACACCCTGTACTATCGGTAAATTGAACCTAGTACCCTGTAATTTTATTTTGAATATATTCCCTAGGAAAGAATTCTATTGCTGCAGATAGACCCCCTTAGTGAAAATCTATTGTTGCATATAGACCCCTGAAAAGGGTTTAGAACTTTACACATGGGGCCTATCTACAATATAATAGAACTACATGGATAGTAAGTTTTATTTGGAGACAGCACAGGGTGTCTATCTGCCATTAACCCTTAAATCAACCATATATTTTATCTTAAGCATGTTATGAAATCAATCACACATGTTTGAAGTGTATAATTTTCTTGTGATTTAAGGGGCTTCCTTTTAAGTTTTGCAATGATAATCTTCCATCCGGTGAACTAAGAATGACATTGGAAGACGAGAAGGGTAAGGAACATGATGTGCTCTATCTTGGAAGAAAGAATGGGCTTAGTGGTGGATGGAGAGGCTTTTCAATAGATCATAGTTTAGAAGACGGAGATGTCTTAGTATTTGAACTCACTCAGGCGGCAAGATTTAAGGTGTCATTGAGTTTTCCCTTTGTTTTTAGCCTGCAGGTAATCTCAAGCTTCAATATCTCAGATACTAATCCGTTAATTATCGCATAACATCAGGTACATATAGTGAAGGCACTTGAGGAAGAAAAGACCGAAAAATCCATGACACCGAAGAAAAAAAGGGAGCCTGTTTCACAAAAGCGACCTCCAAAGACTGGCTCTGGAAAGCAAGCAGGAAGCGCGCCCAAGAGAGGTCGTAGATGCATCGAGAATTAGGATTTTGGCTTAACTTCAGACTGTTTTTGTATCTTCTTTTTGGTCTGATCAGTTCTACTGCTCGAAGTATGCCATCCGTATCGGAATCGTCATAGCAGATCTCCATGCGGTCTGAATGTAAACAGAAACTTGTTTCTTGCAAACATTGAATACCTAGCAATGATTTCTCTAGAATCTCTTTGGAAGAATTCATATGGTTTAATTTACGCGTTTTCAATTTCCTATTCCAATTCCTGACGGGAAATGAGAATCCCGATACTAATGTATGTAGTTGTTTATCTTCTCTGGGAGAATTCAAATCATCTCCAATGCAGGCCTCCAGCTTGCCGATGCTGACATCAATGCGTGCAAACTGATCCCATAAAAACAAACTGACGAGATCCAGGCCGTCAACTCTGACAGTCGGGTCCTCAATACCCCAGTACTTGGCGCGATGATCCTCTCCACTACAAAAAAGTAGTGGAGAGACCACTGCTTTTAATCTTAATCGTTGATTATTTAGTAGGCGGTTATGATACAATTTAAATCAAACACTTACCATACCCCGTGTATTGCACTCATTCCTAATTTGCACTAAAAGATAAAATCACAACAATTAACTAGATAATCAATGGCCGTGATTATGTAGTGGTCCCTCCACTGTTTTTTTTTCAATAGTGGCAGAGGATCCGAATCGGGGGGGGGTGGGGGGGGGGTCTCTCACAATGAATCGAGGTTTTCCTCATAAATTTTCAATTGAGGGGGTCATTGACTTGTTGCACCACATTAAAGTATATGAACTTCATATTAAATTAGAGAAATTCTTATGTCAACTTAAGTGGACCATCCAACAAACATTCTATCCATTGATGATACCTAGGGATCTATGCAAGATATGAAGAGACCTTTTATACGAGGAAGAAAATTTTTAATGTTTTTTCCCCCAGCTATCAGAATTGGTTCTTTGTCAAAAGTTGCTCTTTGATGACAGATCTTCAATTTTTGTTTTCGAAATTTTCATTTTCAAATTTTTTTTGCTGAAAATGATATTCTGAATGTAAACGAAGAAATCTGATATGTTCTTTCTTATTTTTGAATTTTCCCCCTTTGCTTGATTAATTCTTTTATTCCTTCTTGAATGAGTAATTGGGAATTTGAAGGGATGTCCTGAAATTGCTAGGAGAGAATGCAAGTTATGGATAAGACTATAGTCTATTATTTCCAGTTTACACACATTCAGAACATTTTTGGGGATTTTACTACATTTGGATTCAACTCTCTGTAATTTGAATTGTAAACTTAAGAAACCTGTTATCATCATAACTAAAGAACTTCTTAGTTTTTTCCCCCCAACTAATATATCCATACCGTTGCTTAATTGATTGTTATAGATCCAATTAAATATGCATAGATTTATAATGTTGATAATTACTGAAGTTGATCGCACCGTTGCATGCTCGAGTAGTGCAGATTCACTACATCGATTCTCCTTGGATTAAACTCTCCTTAGTGATCGCTAATCCCTTATTAACATAACAGTCAAATGTAACAATGTGACTATATTCATGGTGTAGAAACGGCGAAAACATCGGAGAAGAACATGATTTTTGGAGCAGGCAGAGCTTTGGGTGCTTGCCGGTCGACCGTGAGCTTTGGGGCGGTCGACCGGAAATGTGCATAGCCTCAGAAAGTTTTCTGGACTTGGTAACGGTCGACCGCGACGATTTTGGCGGTCGACCGCCAAACCCTGTAATTTGACAAACAAGAAACAAGTTAAAATTGGTCTGGGTTCAGTCCTAACCCAATTTTAACTCGACACCCTAACATATAGAGTATTTTCCTAGTAAAACCTAATATTCTATACTTTTAAGGAATGCAAAAGGGCAACTCTAATCCAAGATTACCTGACCTTTGAAAATAGGGGTAAATCTGAAAATCTAAAAATGTCAAGGTGCTTAATGTCAAACCCAAAAGAAACGTGACGGCCCTGTGCGAGTGTGTATGGACTTTGAATTTGAAACGGATTCAAAAGTGCAAAAAAAAGGCGCCTTTTTTTTCAAGCGTTCATTTTAGGGGGGGACATAAGGGGGAAGGGAAAAAAAATCAAAGGAGAGACAAAGGGGAAATGGCCGCTGCTGCTGTTGAGATCAACTCCGGTGAAGAGATCCTAAAGGAGAGAGTCAGGCAAAACCTCAAGCATCTCGAGGTACCAAAATCGAATTTTTTTTATCAACTTCATTGCCATTGTTCGATTATGAATCTCTGAGTTTTGTTTGAAATATTAAGAAATGTGATGACGGGTCTGCTCAAAATGTCCTGATTAATGAGAAAAAACCATTTTTCCAACTTTTTTTTATCTATTGTAATCATCCTCGTCTGAGTGTATTTCCTATCAAAATTGGGTCTTTTTCAAAGTCGGATCTTTTTAGTAAAAACTGATAATAATTAAAAAAACTGCAATTATTCTGGACATATTTCCCTTCGATTAATTAATTGTTTTGTTCATTTTTGGGGAAGGAAATTGGAATTTCAAGGGATATCGTCGAGTTTGCAAGGAGAGAATACAAACTATGGGTAAGATTACCGTCCATTGTTTCGAGTTTCCACCCATTCAAGATAATTTTGTTTTTAACTACAGTTGAATCTAATGGCTGTATTTTCGGCTTCATGTCAAAGAAATTTGCAATCTAAATAAATGAGGAAGTTTCGTGTTTTTATTAAACTTATCACAACAAATTCATCGCTGACTCTCAATTCTTGTAACAGGAAGGATATACCTATCCAAATTCACTTACACGTATCAATTCTGCACATGGAAGCATTTCAATATCCACACCAATTAAAAATTAATGCTCAGAGGAGAACTTGGTTCAATGCCCCTCTTTTGTTTTGAAGAAATACTATACAAAACCAAGATCAAAGTGCAATTTTGAAACATATTAGTTAAGACCTCAATTTAGAACATCATTGCACTTTGAATAATGTTTAGAATAGATTTATGAAAGTAGAATCGGAAGAAGTGTAAAAGGTCATCAAATTTGTGCACTGCTCTATTTTGAACTATGTCAATGTCATGACATAGGTAAAGCATCCTAAATTGAGCCTATTGAACCCTAATATGAATGCAACACTTTACACTTGCACACCCACGTACATACATATACGTTTGTAGATATATAGATGCATGCAAGATACTGTTGGGAATTTATCAAATAAATAAAGATTATAGCATGAATTTAAACCCAGAAATTAAATAAATAATACATCAAAGATAGATAATATAAATTAGAGAAACAGGCCTGACGGGAGCAGTCGTGTAAACACTGCCCTAGAAGATTGAGGACCCGCCTATCGCCCTGGCGCAGATGATCCCTTCTCCCCTAGCGATAAAAACCCCCGGAAACGGCCCGGCCTCTGCACTCGGGCGAGAGTGCAGAGCTTCAGCTCAGATGAAGAAGTTGCCCATAAAGTAAAACTAAAGTATAGATGAAAATGATATGTAGAGGAGAAAAGAAAACAAGATAAGTTTTCCACATTTTTCTTCATATTTCTTGAGCTCAACATATGTTGTTTATATAGGGGTTGAAAAGAGCCGTTACAAAATCCCTCAATAAATTTCGTAACGTTCGTCATAATGTATAGTCATTATGCCCATTTTAATTACAAATTAAAACACATTAAAACATATTTTAATTGCATATTTTAATTACAAAAATTTATTAGAATTCATTAAGGCAAAATTGCCTTTTCTTTAAAAATATCCAACAGTCCCCCCCAAAAAGCAATATTGACTGAAAACTTAAAAATCAATAAATAAATTAATAAATCACAAAATAAAAATAGGTTGGGCAACCTATGAGCGTTAAAGGCCATGCTCACAATAAACCGACTCATGAGAGTTTCTAGGGGTTAGCCCAGCCCCCCCTAACCGCGGCCATCACGGTTCCTCTCACGTAGGTAAGTCCTCAAAGGGTACTACAGCTGTTTATTTAATACCCCCCACAATACACGCGTTGGACTTATTAAGAGTAAAACTCAGCCTAGCCAGCTGTATCATAAGAGCATCGTCATCATAGAGAAGGGGTAGTAGCAAATGCTACATAATGATATATAAATATATCTAGGTCGATGCTCCACACGAGTGTCACTAGTCCAGCTTGTTTCTACCACATTGAACCGACATTGGGACTACGTCTCCAAATAAGGGTTGGGTTGCCGCTGTCAGTGACCTCATCTATGGGCTTAACCCCATCTCCCTCGATGAATCCAGAACCACACTCCTGGATAATCCCTTAGTCAAAGGGTCATCAAGATTCTTTTCACAGACTTTACAAAGTCTAGAATCATAACTTTGCCTAGCAGGCGTTGTATTTATTTATCAAGTTCTTATTTTGTAATTAGTCCATCATATTGTTTGAAATTGACATTAGGTCATGATCTATGATCATAAAAGATCATAGTCTATGTCTGAAGAGATTGACCTTAATATCTGAACATTTCAAACTAATGTGGAACTAAAATTCTGCAGTTATGCATATGCACATACATGAATGAAATTAAAATTAGATACATGCAGAGCATAATAGGATTTCGTATCTTAAAATATATATCATACTTCATAATTCAAATGCATAAAATTTTTAAAATTCTTCTATTATAAGATGTTGCAAATTAGTTGCCTACAAATGAGACCTTCCAAATTTAAATTGGTTGCCTACAAGTGAGACCTTCCAAATTTAAATTGGTTGTCTACAAAAGAGACCTTCCAATTTTATGTTGCCATTTTCTAGTACCACCTCTTATACAAATAATGGTTGTCTACAAAAGAGACCTTCCAATTTTATGTTGCCATTTTCTAGTACCACCTCTTATACAAATAAAAATAAAAATAATATTTGTACATACGTGCTTTAAATTTTTCAAGTGTATTCTTGCATAACACCTTGTAATTAATCATGTAACAAATGCAAGTTATCTAAAAAGATATATGAGCATTTATTGCAATATTCATCAAAATGCAATAAAAGTGATAAACTTTACATTTGAAGATTTAAAATATAATCCACCATATAAAATAGAATTTTAAAAAATGCACCTCTTTAATTTGGTTCGCTCATATATTGATCATTTATCATTAGACAATATATGATGCAAGAAATGTAATTAAATAAATGCATATGAATTTTTCTCATAATTCCGGTCCTCTTATTCCAAACCAAAAACTCCTAAAGTGAAAAGATTAAAGTTTTACTCGGGTAGTTAGCCAGGTAAGGATAGTAATAGAGGTTGATCAAAGATCAATTAAGTACCTCGTTCCTTGCAGAGCGCATTACGTAACCTTTAAACCTTGCCTTAGACACCAACTAATCCAAGAAAACTTGAATCGGTTCACTCAATGAGTTTTTGTTTCTTAACAGTAACAGAAAACTTTAAAATATTTTCTGCAAGCATTTAATTTTCCTAAGCAATTATACTGCAAGCATATGTTGGATAAGGCCGAGGAGGGGTTTACCTATTGATGTTCGAACCTCATGATTTTCATGTCTTAAGAGTAAAAACTCATCTGCTGTAGACAACTGCCACAGAAGTTGCTGAACAAATTTGCATTCACTTTTACCACCTTCTGTACTAAGATTATTAGATGCATAAATACACTAAAATATGGAATTATTAATAGAATGCACCATATTATTGATAGCTTAAAGAAATAATAGTATTAAACCATGAACAAATCCAGATATTTCAAAGCATCTATGCATCCAGAGTTTGTTCTCTTTATTCTTGTCAAAACCATGCATATAAAATTTTTAAAATAAAATGTGCATTGCTACAAATTTATTGCATGTTTCAAATGCGAGCATATTCACTAGCACAAGGGAATAAGGGTAGGTTTTAGATGATTCTAACAAATATAAACTAGGCTTTTAGAAACCAATAAAGGTTGTTTGATATTCGTAACTTACAATAATTATTGATTATAAACCAACTATAAGACAAATGTAATTAACTGTTAAATTAAATTAACAGAAATATTTAGCTACAATTTTTTAATTATTATTATTTTTTTTAAATAACCAAAACTGTTTACATGAACAGTAACTTTTTTAATAAAAATGAACAGTACCGTTTTCAAAATAAATGAACAGTAATGTTTTTTTTAAATAAAATTAAAACTGTTTTTTTATGAACAATACAATCTTTATTTTTGGAATGAACAGTAACAGTTACAATTTTTTTTCCTCGGATTTTATAACATCAAATCAATAATACTAATAGATAAACAAATATATAATTAAAGCAATTACATTTTCTTTGTGTTAACAACAACTATAAAATTCCTCTGTTTTTTTTTTAACAGTAACAAAACTTTTTTTTTTAAAACAAAAAGATAATCAATTTTCTTTCTGTTTTTTTTATTCGGATGAACAGTAAACATCTCGAATGAACAGTAACTTTAAAATAATTTCAGATTTAAATCAAAGCTATAAACTTCTCAATCTTCTAGATTGTTGGGAATTTATCAAATAAATAAAGATTATAGCATGAATTTAAACCCAGAAATTAAATAAATAATACATCAAAGATAGATAATATAAATTAGAGAAACAGGCCTGACGGGAGCAGTCGTGTAAACACTGCCCTAGAAGATTGAGGACCCGCCTATCGCCCTGGTGCAGTTGATCCCTCCCCCCCTAGCGGTAAAAACCCCCGGAAACGGCCCGGCCTCTGCACTCGGGCGAGAGTGCAGAGCTTCAGCTCAGATGAAGAAGTTGCCCATAAAGTAAAACTAAAGTATAGATGAAAATGATATGTAGAGGAGAAAAGAAAACAAGATAAGTTTTCCACATTTTTCTTCATATTTCTTGAGCTCAACATATGTTGTTTATATAGGGGTTGAAAAGAGCCGTTACAAAATCCCTCAATAAATTTCGTAACGTTCGTCATAATGTATAGTCATTATGCCCATTTTAATTACAAATTAAAACACATTAAAACATATTTTAATTGCATATTTTAATTACAAAAATTTATTAGAATTCATTAAGGCAAAATTGCCTTTTCTTTAAAAATATCCAACAGATACTACCAGGCATATATTAACTGAAGTTCTTAAATATTTGCATCAGGCTGATGATCCAAAACAAAGATATTACCGCACGAGGTATGATTGTTTATGACAAGCATGGCTATTCTATTTCTATTTGTCACTTCACTTCTACAAATGTGTGGTCATTATGATGCTAAAGTCATGATATTTCTATGAGAAGCTCTACGAATGCGAATGCTGCAAGAGAATATACAGGAAGAATTGCTTCTGAAGATCAAAAGATTGCTGCATTAAAGAGAGCAGAGGAATTTCAGAGAGATTTAACGTCCCACTATCCTTCATTCATTAAGCCTATGGTTCGATCACATGTATCTGGTGGTTTTTGGCTTGTAAGTTAAAAATCACTCCTACCACTAAATTGAGTCTCGTGCTATCAAGTGAAATCAATATCACTTATTCCTAAAGTGTTTGTATTTTATTATCATTAAGGGACTTCCGACAAAGTTTTGCAAAGAAAACTTTTCTCCTAATGAGCTGAGAGTGATTCTAGAAGATGAGAAGGGTAAGGAACATGCTGTCCTATACCTTGGGAGGAAGAATGGTCTTAGTGGTGGATGGAGAGGCTTTGCAATAGATCATAATTTAGAAGATGGGGATGTCTTAGTATTTGAACTAAGCGAGCCGGCAAGATTTAAGGTAATATTGAATTTCACTTTTTTTAAGTGCCTACTATGGTAAACCTTACTCTCCATGATGTGCAACCTTCCGTTATGCTTTTAGTCGTTTGCATCAAATAGTTATTTTTCGTAGTGCAGATTCTTTTGTTCACAGGTTACTTGATTTTGTTTTGACTTTTGTTGCTGTAGATTAATTGTATTGATAGTCTATAGTTATGTATTTTGGTTTTAAAACTATCCATAAGTACTATAAAACGACAATGTATTGAAATATTGAAATTTAGGGAGAGAAATCTAGTCCAGTAATGACAATTAGCAGATTTCCTGGGCCTCCATACATATAACTGATGTACATGGTGATCATAAGTTCATATGTGATGCTTTAATCCCAGCTCGTGTGTTTCCCTCAAATAATTGTATATGTTTGAATCTTTTGTTAAGTTAAAAAAAATGTTGCTAAAAAGTTGTCTAAGTTCAGGATAAGGGCATATATCTGGATCTAAATGCAGGCTTTATTAAGCTACACTAGACTGATATGCACAGGAGACGGCACTCATATCAAATATGAACTATTTTTCGTGACAAAAGTCAGGGATGCTCGTTAGGTCAAGAGATCTATTTACAGGGTAACCATAGACCAAGGGAATAATGTACTTTTAGTTTCTGCAAACACTCAAAAAGAGAAGAATGCTTGATGTTTGTCGATACAAATGCAATGATTCAGAAGGCTAGAAAGGGTGCTAGTAAGCTAAACAGAATAGGAAAGGAATTAATGAATTGTGAACCAAATTTTCTGGATAATAGACTGAATTACCAACTTTTCCCCAAGTAAATATGAAAACAACTAAGTTTTTAATTGTACATAATCACTTTGCATGGAGCTCAAGATGTTGCCTTTATTCTACTGAAATTAACTTATTTTGACCACCACATGGATGTTCATAGTAAAGATCTCTTTTTCCCCTTGATGAGATGGCTGGTGGATCTCCAAAATCAATTAGATCATATATTAATATTATAGTGATCATCCATCATAACAAATCTTAGGACATCTTCAATACCCTTTAACCGAGCTTTTGCTTTCTCATAACAAACACCTTTTGAACTCTGAATGTTGCTTGATTCATAAAAGGATTACCTGAGTCATAGATAAACGGCCCCGAGTTCAAATTGACTCACCATCTGCAACGGACGCGTAAGACATTTGTGAAAGGCGTCGTTGAGTTTTCATTGGTTGTGATGTTCATGATGAGGAACCTCCCCAGTCGAACTTCAGTCAGTCGTTTGTATAAGTAGTTGTATCACTAACGATGCTCCATACCGTAACATTTTCCTTTCTTTCATCGCGTCAGGTACACATTATGAAGGCGATCGAGGGAGAATCACCTGAAACCGATAAAACTGCAGATTGCGCCGCCGCAGTTTCCAAAACTAAAGCTTCGAGTGGAACGAAGAAGGCAATTCAGGCAGTTTCAAAGAAACGATCCCTCAAAACTGGCTCCGCGAAGGAAGCGCTAGAGGCAACAAAACGCGGACGTAGATAGAATAGTACCTCAGCGTGTTTGCTTATGGTCTGGCCGTTTTTTTGCATCTTTTTTGGGGTCTGATCAGTTCTAGTACTGAAAATTGGTAATCATCCATGCAGCAGGAAGTGCTTATATAGTGAAAAGGACATTGACAGGTAACACTATTTCTGCTGGCACTTGCTATTTAATGAATGAAACTGATGATTTTTGCGTAATGTTAAAGATTCTGTGTTTTGTACTATTAGCAGATTATTTGATGGATTTATTTGCTGGTTGAGCAAATTGCGGGTAACCCCTCCCATCTATACATTTAGTAGCACTTATCAACCCTCAAACTATTTAATAGCACCAACACATCTCGATTTACGAGGTAGAAAGATGGGTATCTGTGGTTTATATTCCTCTTATTAAAGCACCAATATAGAGGTAGTAAGTACCAATAGTGAAGGTATAGATGAGGGGGGGTTATCTGCAATTTACCCTAGATGATTGCGCTGGGCTATTTCCGGAGAAATGTCGGCTGCTTTTCTTATTTTTCTGTATTTTGTTCGGTGACTGGCACGAAATTGATATTTATCAGATGTCCTTGACCTGTAGTTGCTGCTTACCCCTTAATCTAAGGGGGCGTATGGTAGCTTGCAACTTAAGTGGTTGCAACTCCAGTTGCATGCAACTGGATCAAATTTGTTCAGTTGCAAGCGCTAGTTTTGTTGGAATTCACGGTTGTAGTTGGAGCCACAACTACAAACAACTCTTAGTTGCAACACATGACTTACGTTAAAATCAGTTGTAAGTCATAGTTGCGTCTGACTTATATTTATTAAAAATAAAAAACATTACTTAATATTATAAAAATTCATTAAAGATTTATAATAATCTTTTAAAATTTTATTATTATAATAATTTCTTAAAAAAGTTTTAAAAATAAAGTTATTTAAAAATATTTTTCCTAAAAATGTTTTTTTGTGAAAGTAATATCTTTCAAAAAATTCATTAGATAATTTTTTAAAATATAATTATTTATTGTTCTGCAAAAATAAAAGTATTATTCTTTTGAAAATATTATTTTTCAAAAAAATATTTTTTAATAAAATAATATTTTTCAAAAAGTATTAATTTTAAGAAGTAACCTTTTGTAAATATTATATTTTAAAAATATATTATTTTTTAAATAATATATTTTTCATAAAGTAATATATTTTTAAATAATATATTATTTAATAAAATATTATTCTTAAGGTAATTTATTACTTTTTAAAATATATATATTATTATTTTAAAAGTTTGACAAGAATTAATAACTTTAATAATTTATTAATGGTAAAAAATAAGCTGCACATGTAAAATTCTAAGCAAAATCAAACAGCTGCAACTGTAAGTTGTAAATTTTAAGTTTTGAACTAGACATTTGTAACTGTATTTGAATGTAAGAAGAGTTGCAACGTTTCAGTTGCGTACAAGTAACATTTACATTGCAACTATAGTTGCAAGCAACCTAACGCACGATAAATCTTTTTACCTTTGGTTGAGGTTTTAGATCTTTTTGTCAGAGCCCAAGCCGCCCACATGTTGATAATCAAGAAAAAGCAGCAGCCATCTTTGAAAATTTGAGAAGAAAACAAAACAGTGGGCCCCACTGCTACAGTAAAATATTAATATTTTATTATGCATAGTGTTTTTCTAAAAACTATAAATAGGGCTCCAAATCCTTAAGGAAATCTCATCCCAGAAACAACTTCTTATATAAGAAGAGTGAGAGAGAAAAAAATAGAGAGAGTTTCTCCTTGTAAAGAGAGAGTTTGTAACTCCAGAGTTTTTTCCTCATAGTGAATTCTTCTATCCTTGCCCGTGGACGTAGGCAATCAAGTGCCGAACCACGTAAATCTGTGTGTCCAACATTTTATCTCTACTTTTGCTCTACTATTGCTGCGACCCTGCTCTATTAGGCCCCGGGTTTGTCCCAACAAGTGGTATCAGAGCCAACTTAGGGTACTTGTATATATCTACTTATCGTATGCTCTGTGGCTGCCACCAAAGGTGGATCATCCACATCAGAAAATAAGTTAGGTTATCACTTACCCTTTGAAGGTGACGGGTACTATTCACGAGTACGGCACTGTTCACAAATACGGTACTATTCACAAGTACGATATTATTCACGGATACGGTTACTGTTCATAAATACAGTACTATTTACGTGAAATAGTAAGAAGTTACTGTTCGTGGTAGAAGCAATGGCGGCGAAGTTCAAGATCGAGAAATTCGACGGGAGTAATTTCTCACTGTGGAAGTTGAAGATAAAGGCTATCTTGAGAAAAGATAATTGTCTGGCGGCCATTGGTGCAAGGCCGGACGACATCACAGATGATAAGAAGTGGAACGAGATGGACGAAAATGCTATTGCAAATCTCCATCTGGCATTAGCAGACGGGGTGCTGTCAAGCATAGAGGAGAAGAAGACAGCAAAGGAGATCTGGGATACTCTAACAAAGCTATATGAGGCGAAATCCATGCACAATAAAATCTTCTTAAAAAGGAGACTTTACACTCTGAGGATGGCGGAATCTACATCGATGACCGACCACATCAACACCCTAAACACACTGTTCTCCCAACTCACAACGTTGGGATATACAGTTGGTGCGAATGAGCGTGCAGAACTTCTACTTCAGAGTCTACATGACTCGTATGATCAACTCATCATCAACCTGACGAACAACGTCCTCACGGACAATCTAGTCTTCGACGATGTTGCAGCCGCTGTTCTGGAGGAAGAAAATCGGCGCAAGAACAAGGAAGACAGGCAGACAAGTTCGCAGCAAGCGGAGGCCTTATCGGTGACGAGAGGAAGATCAACAGAACGTGGCTCCAGTGGGAGTCATGCCCATGGTAGATCGAAATCACGAAGTAAGAAGAATATCAAATGCTACAACTGTGGCAAAAGAGGGCACGTCAAATCGGAGTGTTGGCACAACAAGAAGAGTGGAGATAAAAAGTCTTCAGAGCCATCAACATCTCAAGGATGTGTTGTCAGCACGTAAGAGGATGGTGAAATTCTATTCAGTGGAGCAACCACTGTTGATGAAGGCAGAAAGAAGTTTGCTGATGTCTGGCTTCTAGATTCAGCAGCCTCTTGGCACATGACCTCTCGGAGAGATTGGTTTCACAAATATGAACATATCTCAGGAGGATCTGTATTCATGGGGAATGATCATGCCTTGGAGATTTGTGGTATTGGTACTATCAAAATCAAAATATTTGATGGTACAATACACACCATTCAAGATGTGCGACATGTGAAGGGCTTGAAGAAGAATCTATTGTCTTTGGGACAATTAGATGAGCTCGGATGTAAAACTCATATCAAAAATGGAATCATGAAGATTGTTAGAGGGGCGCTTGTGGTAATAAAAGGAGAAAAGATAGCTGCAAATCTGTACATGCTCAAGGGAGAGACTCTGCAGGAAGTTGATTCATGTGTGGCATCAACCAGCCGTGGAGAAGAACAAACCATGATGTGGCATCGCAAGCTAGGCCACATGTCAGAACGAGGCTTGAAGGTTCTCTCCGATCAGAAACTGCTTCTTGGACTTAATTCGGTAGCTCTTCCATTCTGCGAGCATTGTGTTACAAGCAAGCAGCATCGACTGAAGTTCAAGACGTCGAGTTCTAGAAGCAAGCCAATTCTGGAACTGGTTCATTCTGATGTATGGCAAGCACCAGTTACATCCTTGGGAGGAGCAAAATACTTTGTGTCCTTTATTGATGATTACTCCAGGAGATGTTGGGTGTATCCTATCAAGAAGAAGGCGGATGTGTTCTCAGTTTTTAAAGCCTACAAAGCGCGGGTCGAGCTTGAATCTGAGAAGAAGATCAAGTGCTTAAGGTCAGATAATGGAGGAGAATACACAGACGGTGAATTCCTAGCATTCTGCAAGCATGAAGGCATCAAAAGACAATTCAGTACGGCTTATACTCCTCAACAAAATGGAGTGGCGGAGCGGATGAACAGAACTCTGTTGGAAAGAACAAGAGCTATGTTGGCTACTGCAAATCTGGAAAAAGTCTTTTGGGCGGAAGCAGTAAAAACCGCCTGTTATGTGGTGAATCGATCTCCATCAAGTGCAATACAATTGAAGACGCCGATGGAGATGTGGACTGGCAAGCCAGCCGATTATTCTAACCTCCATATATTTGGATGTCCAGTGTACGTAATGTACAATGCCCAAGAAATTACAAAGCTGGATTCAAAATCCAGAAAATGTATATTCTTGGGGTATGCTGATGGAGTAAAGGGGTATCACCTGTGGGATCCCACTGCCCACAAGGTTATCATCAGCAGAGATGTTATCTTTGTAGAGAACCAACTACAAAGTAAAGAGAAAGAAAGCAGTTCGAGGAAGGACTCAGAGACTGTAGCTGTTCAGGTAAAGAGAAAGAAAGCAGTTCGAGGAAGGACTCAGAGACTGTAGCTGTTCAGGTAGAAGATAATCCGAATTTTTCTAAAGCGACACCGGAGCATGATGTACAAGAACCAGTCGAGGCCGAGGCTCCAGAAGTTCAAAGGTCAACTCGTGAGAGAAGACCACCGACTTGGCACTCGGAGTATATTACAGAGAGTAATGTTGCATACTGTCTTCTAACAAAAGATGGAGAGCCATCAACTTTTCATGAAGCTATAAATGACACAGATGCATCTTTGTGGATGGCAGCAATGCAGGAAGAAATTGAAGCTCTCCATAAGAACAAGACTTGGGAACTTGTGTCACTGCCACAAGGAAGAAAGACCATTGGAAACAAATGGGTCTACAAGATCAAGCGAAATGGCGATGATCAAGTGGAGCGGTATCGTGCTAGATTGGTGGTAAAAGGATATGCTCAGAAAGAAGGTATTGATTTTAATGAAATATTTTCTCCTGTAGTTCGACTAACAACAGTCCGAATTGTCCTGGCTATGAGCGCTATATTTGACTTACAACTAGAGCAGCTAGATGTGAAAACAGCATTTCTTCATGGAGATCTTGAAGAAGAAATTTACATGCTCAAACCAGAAGGTTTTGAAGAAAAAGGAAAAGAGAACTTGGTTTGCAGATTGAACAAATCTCTGTACGGTCTAAAGTAGGCGCCGAGATGTTGGTACAAGAGATTTGATTCATTCATCATGAGCCTTGGATACAACAGACTTAATTCAGACCATTGTGCATATTTCAAGAGGTTTGGTGAAAATAACTTTGTTATCCT